CCTTCCTAAAATCGGAAGGGAAAATAGTCGTGAGCCGACCATGTAAGCACAGGCGTGCGCGTTTGCTCAGCACCCTGCATTGGAGCAGTTCAACATATGATGTAAAATAAATCATCAAAAAGTGGTTCAAATAGAATTTACATCATTAAGACGTGGTTTTTTCACATCATCAAAAACATCCAACTCGAACAGATGGTGTAGAATAGGGCAACCGCATGACAACCACTCCAATAGATGATGTACAATACCTTGTGCAATTTTTGTCGAACACCTTGTGTGCGAGGTGGGAAGAAACCAGGTGGCTGCATGTTGGAGTGTAGATGGCAGTCGCGTCGGTGACGAGCGGCTCGCGAAAGCCCTCCCGCGCCTCCTCTACCCCTGCCGGCTGGTGGCTGACCCTAATTTCGACAATGCAACGACGGCGACACCGACCGAAGCAGTGGCCGCTCAGCTCGATCATGGTGGTCACGCGACTACCCGCGGTAGCTCTGGCCACCCGTAGCCCTACTCTGGACGACGGCCACGAGCTGGGGGAGCCATCACGGGCGCCGGCGCTCTGGCCAACAGCCGAATCATGGTGCGGTGACGGATCCAAATTGGTGTGGCGAGCGTCCGGGCGGCTGGGCTAGGTGGCTGGATAGTGGCGGGGTCAGGGGTGGACGAATGAGCGGCGGCGGAAGATTTTCCGAACGAAATCTCCGACGGCAGTAGGTGGGTAGAGGAGCAGGCGTGGCGTGGGAAGTTTCAGGAAGCAATTGGGGTTGCGCGTGTTTTGCTTGAGTGGCCCAACTGTTGCACTTGATGCCCTATTTTACATCATGAGCAAATTCCGAGTAAAATTTGCATCTACGTCATTTGTTGGAGCATCGTTTTCATGTCTCGGTGATGTTAAAATCAGTTATTTTTTTTTACATCCACATCATCCACGCCGGGAAAAGGATTGCGGACGCAAACGGCCATGACTGTTTTTTGTTTGCCTCTTGGCGTCCAAGAAAGAAACGAGCTTCGCTTGGTTTGACTTGGATTTTTAAACCCGGCTGCTGTTTTGCGCGCGCCGAGCCGCCCACGTTATTGACCCGCTTGAGACCTCGGAGCTAAGACGTCGTCGCGCAGTGCGCACGAAACCACCCGCTTCCCTTTTGTTGCCGCCGCACATAGTTTTCGCCTTGAATTCAACCCAACCATCCGCCACCTCCATGCCTGTTCAGTGCTCCGTATGTATATATTAGATCATCGATGAGCTAAGCGGACCAACACAACATGGCTACGGCGTCCGTTTCTGTCTCGTCAGGGGCTCCAAAGGTCGCGCAAGTCGACCTATATAAGCGCCTCCGCTCCAGCTTGGGATCAAATCACGACCAACACGCACTGGATCTTGACCACTCACGGATCATAGCCAAGTTAAGCGGGAAGGAGGGAAGGGAGGAAGCCATGTCCGCCGCGGAGGGAGCCGTCGTGTTCAGCGAGGAGAAGGAGGCGCTGGTGCTCAAGTCATGGGCCATCATGAAGAAGGATTCCGCCAACCTCGGGCTCCGCTTCTTCCTCAAGTACGTACCCTGCCATTTCTTACATTACATGTAGAGGCACAATGAAGCCCCGATGCATCTCCTTGACATGCATGCTGCGTGCCGGTGCCTCCAGGATCTTTGAGATCGCGCCGTCGGCGAGGCAGATGTTCCCGTTCCTGCGCGACTCCGACGTGCCGCTGGAGACCAACCCCAAGCTCAAGACCCACGCCGTGTCCGTCTTCGTCATGGTAATACACCATGGATCTCCCAACGATCTACTCCTACTTACTATATTTACATATGCTTCCATGGCTGACCAATGTGTATGTGCATCCATGTGTTGCGATGAATCGCGCAGACGTGCGAGGCGGCTGCGCAGCTGCGGAAAGCCGGGAAGATCACGGTGAGGGAGACCACCCTGAAGAGGCTGGGCGGCACGCACTTGAAATACGGCGTGGCAGATGGCCACTTTGAGGTATGTTCACTTGCACCGTCAGCCTCGTGACTTGTTATAGCATGGGGTTCGTGTTTGATTTTGCATTGCATTTCAACTTGTCCGCTCACACGCTTCTTCTTCTGGTCACAGGTGACGCGGTTCGCTCTGCTCGAGACGATCAAGGAGGCGCTTCCGGCGGACATGTGGGGGCCGGAGATGAGGAACGCGTGGGGCGAGGCCTACGACCAACTGGTCGCGGCCATCAAACAAGAGATGAAGCCCTCCGAGTAGCTCATCCACTGTGTTGTGTTTGTATTGTGTGTTTATGTGTACTGACGCCTATTGTAAAATGAGCATTCAATAAAGGAACAAATTGTGCATGAGGTTTACCCCGTTCTTCAGAGTTTTTTTTTTAAAATAGTACTTCAGAGTTTTTTGTTTGTTTGAGGAACTCTACTTTTTTTTTTTGAGAAATCTTGAGGAACTCTACTTTAAAGGTTATTAGTTAGGGCCTGTTCGGCAACTGCCCAACTCCCAGCTTCTTTGAATCCGCGAGCGGATCTGTCCCGAACGACCTGGCTCCAGGAGGCTAGCTCCTGGATCTGAGACGGGTTGTAGTACAAAAACGGGGAGCTGGTGGTTCATGGATCCCAAAATTCATAAAACTTGGAGTTTGACTTATTTAAGACGAGCTGCCACCGCGAAGTGAAAGAAAACGTTACGTCCAGCGAATAAAAAACATGAGCGACTCCCTTCCCTCCCTACCAGGCCAGAAACAAGCTTAATGGGCCGGCCAGCTACAAGCCCAGCACCAGCGAATCCGCGTTTTTCGTTGGGAGCTGGAAGTGAGATCCTGTAGCCGGATTTGAGGATTTCTAGGCGCTGGAGAGTCGCCGAACATGCCCTTAGTCTATAAAGGGAACTCTACTTTAGAGGGGACCTCCTATATGCCGCTCGTTGCGAGCGATCTAACACGGCACCTCGCATCAGTCAACACAAGTACCTAGCCACTATAGTTTCTAAGATTTCATGTCATAAAAGGTAGCCTGGCATATATGAACTATAAGCCGCAACAAAGACCGTATTTTAAAAAAAATCAAACGTGACTTCCTTTTTGGAAAAAGTAAATATTTTTTGAAACGCAACCATTTTATAATTTGTGATTTTTTTTAAAAAAACTAGAACATTGTATGAAATCACAAAAAAAATAGGAATAAAAAGGAACAAAATTAAAATTGCGAACAATTTGTTTTTAAATGCGAACACTTCCAAATTGGTTAATTTTTTTAAAAAATAGATTTAGTAATTTCAAACATTTTAAGAAAATGAATACCAGAAAAAAACGGATTTGCGAACGCTTTTTGCAAAAGCAAAACGGAATTGAAAAACCGAACATTTTTCAAAAATTACGTACTTTTTAAAAGCAAACACTTTCTGTAAATACGATCATTTTTTTGCAATTGCAAACATTTAAAAAAAACAGGAACACTTTTTAGCACCCGAACATTTTTTAAAAAGTTGTGAAAATTTTAAACAAAAGCATTCACAACATTTTCTGAAAAACAAGAACTTTGTTGAAATCACGTACATTTTTTGAATTGACAAGCATTTTTTTAAAAAGAGCCATTTTTTGGAATGTCGAACATTTTTAAAAGCTATAACATTTTTTAAAATTTTGGAATAATTTTCGAATATGAACTTAGTTTGAAAAAGATAAAATAACCTTGAAAAGTAGAAAATAAAAAAGAAACATAAAATGAAAAAAAGAAAAGAAAGAAGAAAGAAGAAAAAGAAACAGAAATAAAAAAACGAAAAAAAACAGAAAACCCGGTTCAAGGAACCTTCTAGAAGGTTCCCAAAACCGGCTGGCCAGTGCACTGTCTACGCAAAAGCTGGGCCTGCCCACTGCTCTGTCTCCCTGTGCGAAGCGTCCACAGTTTGATGCAAAGCGCGTCCACTTTAGAGGTTAGTCTAGACTACCAGATCAAAACTCCAGAATGCAGCTCCTTTCACGGCCCGCTGACTAGAAATTTCCAGTGGTAGAGGTGGGCTGTTTATCCGATTGCCCCCATGGTCAGCTGGACCCATATCTGGGCTCGACGTGAGCGGGCCGTGAAAGGAGCTGATTTGGGGACTTAAAACATTGAACCACGCAGACCCATAGGGACGTTTTTTATATGGACTTAATGTATGCATGTGTTATTTTTATTGGTTAAAACTAACTTCTCCTAAAAATTGCCCCATAATTTATGATAATGTTATAGAATAGACATTCCGTGATGCGTCAGATTCCACACTCGAATATTAAAATAGTGACGTGGGGCAATACCCGTGGGGCACATTGTTCGCTCCCATGCACCCTCATAAAGAACGGGGCAATCACTCGCAGCTATATACCCTTCCGGGGGAACGTTTCCCGTGTGTAAAAGCATCTCTAGCAGATTTTTTAAAAGTTGACCCTTAAAAACGTGTATAAGGTGCACTATAAACCATTTTTAGGTGTGAAATTGCCCCAGGCAAAGCAGGCCCCGTAAATAAAATTGTATCCCACTATATTCTTCTTTTCCTACCGTCCCGGCAAAGCCCGCCTCCGGTCACGGCGTGCCTCACCCCGCGTGCTACCTGGCTCGCGTGCCCGTCCCCATTGAGTCCGGCACCGCCCGCCGCCACGCAAGCTCCCCTGCGCCCCCTCCCCCCCTCCCCCCCGCCCTTCTCCGGCGCCGGCCCGCCCCGATTCAGGCCGTCGGTGGCCTGCTCCGCTCCGTGGACGGCCTCGCCTCGGCAGTGGATGTCGAGCCGGCCGCAATCCGGACCGGCAGCAACAAATTCCGTCGTGCGGCGGCTTCTTCCGACGTGTTGCGACATATTCCGGCGAGTTCCGCGGCGACGTTTCTGCTCCGACGAGGTTTGACCGGTTTACAAATTGAAATGTATACTGCCTTCGAAACTATACATATGATGTTCTCGCGGATGGATTTTCAATGCCCTTTAAAAAGTTTAAGGGCCGAACGAATTTCACGGGATCTGCTAGGTGTCGTTTTTTCGTTCGAAACTGTACATACCTCTTTTTTACGGGTTTGATCACTTTAAGGGATATGCTAGAGATGCTCTAGCACGACAACCCCTAGATCTAGCTTGGTAATTACTGGAAGCATATATGACAACTAATTTGGGTAGCATGGAAATTCAACCTGATGTAGCATGACAAATCTTCAACATGTGGGCTACTTCCCCCCCTTTTTTTAATTTTTTATTTCGGCAATTCTCGCTGTTGCAGCATAGCAAAACCGTGAAACGCATGTCAATTATCTTTGTTATAGCATGACAAAACTCCTGAAATGCATCGCAATTTTCGCTGAGCAGGCGATCTGAAGGCCCTCCATTCCCTATCCAACGGTTCAGATTAGTCCGACTGAACTGGAAAAAAAAATCATATCATATAACTCACGCATGGGTGCTCCCACAAAACTGATGGTCCCAAGAAGATTGCACACATCCATTATTGTACTAGCCAATTGTGGACAGATCATGATCATCCCGCCAAAAACAGCTGTAATTGGCCCTGCATGCGACGCCGCGGCCCTGGCCATGCTTCATGTGTCGTATTCCGTCGTGTGCCACGCCGGCGCGCGCTGTATCGATATGGCTAAAAAGGTTGGTCTCAGTCCTGGTGTCGTGGTTCGGCCACGAAAGCGTTGCACCCTTGTCAAGATTGAGGACTCGGCCAGATTCACGAGTTCGTGCACGTTTTTTGCACGTTTTTGTTAACACGTCGAAAGCAAAAGATCAAAGCAAACGTGCATAGCACCTGTAGTTGCCACTCGTACCTAGGATCTGATCCTGGGTACCCATAGGAACGAGATATACGTGGGTCGGGGTGAACTGGACGTGCCTTGGCGTGTCCGCCCCAGACAGGGCTGGCTATCAGGTGTGCCAGACAATCTCAATGTTTAAGCTGTTTTTTAATAATGGTGAATTTTCATTAACTTAAAATGAAGCATCCCTAAAAAGGCTTAAAATGAAGCATCACAAACATATAATAAATACACACCCTGCATTTGCATAATTAGGATGCACACAACTAATATCATCACACGCATAAATGAACATACTCACAAAGCAAAATCATACACGACCAAAGCTATGTGTAGGCGAGGAAATAAAAACCCTAAATCAATTAGATCCGTGATCGGCAAACTACACAGTGACCATATCAACACCAATCATCTTATGAAACCACAAAGACGATGAGTTTTTTGAGTGACAATGCTTTTAGAAACGGAGCGAGACCTTGAAGCGCCGCCAGTCACCGGATCCAACCACTGAAGGCCGGAATCAAAGTTTTCACCCTCAATAACCAGTCCGAGCATGTCCAAGCTATTCCTACAACAAGGTACGACATAAAAGCATCATCATTGTCAGGTATAACCACCTCGGGTTAGACCTAGGCTTTCACCCCGGAGCTCGAGACTGGGTGATTGAGTAGCACCACCATTGAAGTCACTCACGTGTTGTCACCACCACTTTTCCGTGACATAGTAGCTCAGGTGATGTGATTGCCGTTGTTGCACAACCATCCCTCTGCGTGAAG